TTTTCATTCTCACACGGTTTCATTASACTGATATTTCCAGTTTTATTTTATAAACTAAGTTATACTCACTCCATGACTTCCCTCTCCTGCGGTAAGTTAACATTCGTACGACATTGCTCGCTGTAAAATCAAAGAAATAGTATAGCTTGCATTTGAAATGAGGCCTTGAGAGACAAATACTCCTTATTATCCCTATTTATATTGAGTCGAGTCCCACCTGGGGCTCATTTTTTTTGAGCTGGTTGATTTTTATCTAAGTTTTGACTTTTCTTCGTCAATGGCGTATTAAAAACTAAACGAGCTTCTTTCACAACCGACAGATATCTTCACTAAGATCAGATACCTAAAACTCAAGACACAAAAAATAGTTGTCTGATTTAACTGAACGGTTGATTTTTATCTAAGTTGACTTTCTTCGTGTTGTAAAGTCATTCGGGGATAACGAACAAAAAGACGTTCTTTCACAACAGATATTTTCTGAGTACCATACAGTTTTGATCGAACAACAAGCTAGTAGATCGGTTAGTTGAGCTGCCCCTCGCGCCCTCTTAAGCCACAAATGCGTTGATCCTTTTATGTGAGAAAGTGGGTTATTATAAACATCGATCAAAATGCATAATTATTAAACAAGGTTTATTTGCAATCATATCAAATACAAGAAGTTACTGAGGGGCAAGAAAATCCGCCCGTAGTTAATAAGATTAGGACTGAAAGCCCAGTATCAAAATCCGGCTTRATTCAATGCTATGACACAAACTTAAAGCACTAAATGGCCATAAAAATCGCGGTTTTAGATTTTGGTATATTTATATCAACTACTTCAGTTAGTAGATGACCAAACTCTTCAGCGTTGCTTTTCAAAATCAAATGTAAGGACGTTCTAACTGACAAAAAAAAAATCATTCTGAAGCTGGTAAATACCTGCGTGTTGATGACCTTGATGACGAACCAAAGAAAATGCGCGCGCATTTAGAACTCTTTCATGAACTACTCTCTATTATGCCAAAAGTYAATTAAAATAATATAATGTGCTAGATTTACCCAGGTTCGTTTAAACTATTTCCGCACTTAGTCTAGTACTTTAGCTAGGTCAAAATAAAAACCCTAAAACTGGATTTTTCAAATCTCACGATCGTTTTCGGCTTCGTCTTTCGGATCGATTATTTTCAGGAAGAACTATATGACCAAACAAACAAAGAAACAAACATACTGCGTAGAAGCACAAGACAATACGTCATATCTTATCCAGTGCTCATATCGCAGAGCTATGTGTAAGTAAGCTGACATCAGTGGTACTATTGTGGTGAGATTGTGGTGTGCATTATCACTTTTGTTGATTCATTTACACGGACACGGCCCGTATCCTTGGTCTGATAAGCTGCGGCCAAGAACTCGATAACAGCAGGAGCCGTTATTACGTCTCGATCTATTTCTTCTGATAATTATTATCGGCGAAAGGGATGATTTAAAGCACTGTATAAATTTGACAACTTACAGTTAGTTAGTCGTGGCGAATCAGTAGATAACATATAAATACTTATTAGTCAATTTGCCTAGTATTGTCTTTTACAGACCGACTCAGTCAAAATAAAACCAGTACAAAAAGAAACGATTCGTGAAAAAGTAAACACTATCGCGCCGGGAAACCTGACTCTAAGGACTCTGAGTACCCGTCTACAAGTCTGGGGGAAAAAATTTGCAAAGCAGCGAAAATTGTTTTTGATTATTTTAAAGCTGAAGACAAAGACTTAAGCCAGAAAACTTAGAAGTAGCACTTGAACGAAATTTATTATTTACCGTAAAGGCAGAGGTCAATTTTCTTATATGGCTTTTTTTAATAACACAGTCAACATCACCGCCATGATGTGTTCGTTGGACAAGAGCGAAGGTGTTTCTTCCTCCATGATCGTGAAGACYGTGGCATATACCACCATTTCGTTGACCGCACTCTTTGGTAATACTCTAGTACTGGTTGTCTTCCGTAGAAGTCGAGATATCCGCTCTGTTGTCTTCTATTTTATCGTRAATATGGCRGTATCAGATTTGATATTCCCCGTGTTCGCTCTACCCCGCGTCATTGGAGAGATCTTTAACGGCCCRTTCACTTGGATCATRAACGGTACCTTCGGTTCTCTAACGTGCAAGATGGCTACCTTTCTGCAGGACGTCTCGACGGCCGTTTCTATAGAAAGTTTGGTTGTCATCGCTCTTGAACGTTTTTTCTCAGTCGTTCATGCTGAACGGAAGAGTTTTCTGAGCGCAGCCAAGACGCGTCGAAACATCATCGCGATAACATGGATACTGGCGATTCTTATTCATATTCCTTACCTGATAGTCTTCAAAGTTGAAACTATTGCTGGAAGAAACTACTGCATGACTCAGTGGGGTTCTAATATTAAGTGGAAGAGAATCATCCCCGTCATCTATCTTGTTTCTATCTTTACAGTCGTATACGCTATTCCTTTCTTAGTCATCGTTGTTCTCTACTCAGCGATAGTCAATAAACTGAGGCGTCTTAAAATGCCTGGACGAACCGGTTCACAGAGGAGAAGACGACGACAAGAAAGGAACCGAACAGTCACTTTAATGGCTTTGCTTTTCGTCGTAGTCTTCTTTGTTTGCTGGACGCCGTTTTTCGTGTTCGCGTTTATGTTATGTTTCAAATGGCATTTTGATTTTCCTTGTTCACAGGTAAATTTCAGATTCACAGTCATTCTGGTCGCTCATTTGAACAGCGCTGTCAACCCATTCATTTATTTGTTCTGTAGCAAAACCTTTCGTAAAGGCGTTAGAACGGTTTTTCCCTTTTGCTTAGGCAAAATTAAATAGCTTTGGTTGTAAAGATAAACTTAAAATTAACAGTCATTCTTTCTGCTTATTTGAACGCTTTAGTCAGTACTTAACTTTTCAATTGTTTATTGATTTTACACCAAAATCTAGCTCACTTTTTTTTTCAAATTGAAATTCGAAGCTCAAATAAAATACACCTGGCCTAAAAGACTCTGGTTCAACACCGAAACTCGACAACAATCGAATCATTATTAAAAGATCAAAACTCAAAATCCAATATACAGTTTATTTCCTCTGCAAATTAACATCTCAATCGAAAATAAGTTAACTAAGATCGTCACCGTCAGAAAATGAAATATGAGCCCGGAATTTCATAGTAACCGCCTAGTTTTCGCATTAGTTCAGCCATACTGCATCATATTTTTAAATATTTAGTACGAATGTTTCATGTAGAAATGATAGATTCCTCTTGTTATTTTATTTATGACCAGAAATTTGGTAGACGACACAATACACGGATCCCACATTCATTATTCAGTACCTCCCTAGTTACTGTTGCTACGTCTGACAAGCTAAATATGTTTTTGATATACAGCATGGAACAGCACCGATTGCTGAAAATTTTGTCTGTGTCTATTCGGCAGTGGAATAACTCAAAARTGAGTGAACTTATTTTGGTAAAGTCATAAATATGCTCTGACGGACGAGCTACTCTAAAATTTACTAGACAACTTGTAAGAGTTTAAAAAGTGTAAAGCTCTGCACATAAGACCACAGTATTTTTAATCTGGTTTCTTAGACAATAAAGCAGTGTGTAGCCAATATATTCTTAATTATGGTAATAGATTTATTCGGATTAAAGGATGTTGTTGATGAGGAAACGAAAATGAGTAAATTAGTTTGCATTGGCGGGTTTTATTGGATTCCAAACTTGGCTGGGTATCGAAGCAAGAAACTGGGGGGGGGAGGGGGAAGAAAGAAAGAAGGAAAAAGAAAGAAAAAAAGAAAAAAGAAAAAAAGAAAAAAAGAAAAAAAAAAAAAGAAAGAAAGAAAGAAAGTGGTCTCTGTTAATATTTGGATGACACTCAGCAACTTTAAAAATAGGTTTACTTGAGTACTAACGTCACCGGAAGGGTTATTAAACAGCAGTAGGAAAAGGAATAAATTCTCAATGAACTTCGCGATTAATTACTATCAACGCAATTCTAGCACCTGTCTTATGGCTGGAGCTGGGCGTCGAATGCGCGCTGTTCCAATCTCAGAAGCAAATGATTGAATATAAGGTGGGGTAACCCTTCTGCTAGGGGGTAACTCTTTTGTTTTTTGAACAAGACCCTTGTCCAAAAAACAGGATGTAAATGTAAATGTTTTCTTAGTTTACAAGAAGAATTCCTAGATAAGTCACTGACGTCAAATATAATAATAATAATAATAAATTATATTTTATATAGCGCTAATTCCTCTAGTTCAACAGAGCTTTACGAACATCAAAGACTCAAAAATGTTTTAAAATTTAACGCTATCCTAATGTTATAAGATATAAAAATACATGAATATTGTGAAAAAACATAATTAAAAACACTGCAAAATTTTTTCATTCATTTGAAACACTGATATAAACATACTCAACAATAATATTAAACATTTCACAACATATTGTAAACATTCAAATTGCAAATATAAATTGATATAAGTTAATCAATATAAACTTTATTAAAATAATATGATTTGAATTAATTAAGAAAAGCTTGTTTAAAATTAAGCCAGGTTTTTACTTCTCTTCTAAAAATTGAGATAGAAGTGCAAGCTCTTTCTCACAGAGTCTTACAAACTTAAAACATATGGAAGGAGATCCTTTTCTTGTGCTAGCTGCCCCTGAATTGTAACAAACTTCTGATTTCGGGAGCTCAACGCAGATTACGAATCTCAAGATTGCTCACGCATTCAAAACTGATGAGGTTCTAAACTGAAAAAAAAAAAAAAAGGTATTTCAAGCAATTCTCATTTTCAAGAGCCATTTAAGCAACTAAAGCAAGTCAATGCAAATATTTCAAGCAAGTTTGGTTTTAAAGTTTTTTTAAAAGAGGACCATAACTTACCATTTTCGTCTATCTTCTACGAAAAAAAAAATAAAAAAATCAAAAAGTATTGCATCCTCTATAAATAATAATTTTTTCCCTATCCAAAAAGACTTATTCAAGATATCGTAGCTTGGAAACTTGTTTGGAATTGGATGAATTTACATCTTAAAACCAATTTTACAGAAAAAAATATTCGTATGTTTTTCTCATTGCAAATATTAAGCAGGGTAAATAAGGCTTCGTTTTGTTTTGAGTGTAGCTAGCCTTTTTTGATCATTTGCATCTAAATTGCTCTAATACCGCACTACAAAATTGCTTCCAATGAGCTAGTATTTGATTGGGTGATAGTTAAGTTCGTCCGCCATTAACTTCGTTATTATCTCGTGTGATCAAACTTTTAAAGAAAAAGGAAAAAACACGCAATCCTACCTTTAAATCAATCATTAARAATTAAGAATATTATTAATTTGTTTTGTTTAAAACTCTTCCTGCTCAGAATTTGTATTGTGTTCATGTGATTTTACATTTTAAAAAAATTATTGAAAAACAATTTCAAACGCGGTAATTTTGTTGTCTGTTTTATCAGGACAACAGTATCTTTATCTTTCCTTCCCTTTYTTCCTTTTCTTTTGTTTTATAATCTCCCTTCACTTCCTCTACTATCTATCCATTTCCTTTCATTCAATCCATAAATAAACTCTACCATTTACTCATTCAGTCGTAAGACCCCACCTAATCCCCATTTGAAAGATTACGAATATCATTGCCCGAAGCGAGAAGCATTAAATCTTCTCTTCCAAGACAGYTTGACTCTATGGTCTCAAAGAGGACGGAAGCATTCTCCTTAAATCTTCTTTGAATTCAGTATCATTTTATTGAACACTTTTCGCTGTGCTTGTCCTAGTCAAACAGCCGCCAGCAAAAGGGCTATAGTCGTGATGATCTCCAAGCCTAAGTTAAAAGATATATTTCAAAATACTAATAATAATATGTCCGCCCAAGGACAAGAGTATAACTACAATGATTGAGACGCACTTTTAGTCTGTCTGGAAAATGCATTTATGAGCAATTGCTCTTTATATAAAGAGTTTTTCAGCTGCGACGTAATGCTTTCTTATTTAAGACCACTTTCCATTCCCTTGAGTATCCTTCCATTTATTTTTAGTAGCGGAAAGTGGAAGATTGAGTTTCGCCCTGAAGCTGATTGGGTCTAAATATTGATTAAATATTGAAAAATAAGCAAATCCTGTAGCATCCGCAGGCGAGCTAGTTTATGAGTCTAGTTTTTTCAAAACTCCTCATTTGGGAATTAAATTTATTCTGATTAAGCAGATGTTAGCCTAACCAGGCGATGGAGATTAGCCTGCGTAGCGGCCCACTCCCCTTCCTACCCCAGTCCCCCTTCCCTTTGGGCCGCTACGCAGGCTAATGAAGATCCACTATACACCCGGCCTTAGCTGCATCGCATCTATTTGAGAGTTCTGAATTTGAAACTGAGATCGAGAAGTATACGCTACAAATCGTAATACATCCACAGCCGAACAAGGTAGTTTCCTTTTACATTGGAATATGAAGCACGACCTTTAAGTTATAAGTTTGATTTTTCGTATTTCAGCCACAAAACATAAGAGCACAAAAATTCTTTTAAGCCTCGGATCTCCCGCACATTTCAGATCTCAGACCGACAATGTTTTTTTTTAAAGAAATAGGTGTATATTCTATCGAGGTTATTTCAACATGGAATAATCCTTCCATTCATCCTTCCATTTCCATTTCAATTTCAATTTCCATTCATTTATTTGATTATTATACTAGAAACCCTAATCCAATATCTAGTTAAAGACATGATAGCGGTACATACCGTGATTCAAAAGCTGATGCTCGCTTAATGATTGGTAATCCTTATAATTATATATTTTTTCATAGTACGATCCTTAAAAATGAGTTCAGCAGGCTTTCAAATATACCCATTTAGTCCGCTTTCATTTCTTGCGCTTTATTTAGGGTTTATATTATCATTCAAACTAGGATTTCCCTTGAAATTTCAAGCACTCTCTTGTGTCATGAAAATAATTTTTGTGTATTTGAAAAGAATAGAAAAACACTTTAGCTAGCTTTTCATTCTTTTCTAGTTAAAGGTTTTCTTGTCATTGACAGCACCTGCTTTTGTAGATCTTTGCGATTTTTGAAAACAATTYTTGTAACATCATTAACTTTGAATGTTTTTTGTTGCGTTTTTAAAAAGTGTTTTGATTTCAAATCGTCAGTTTTCAACATCCATCCATTCATTTATTCAGCGTAAATAGCCTGCCGAATGAATAGAATGCGAAACTCTTGAGGAGAAGCCAATTAACTGTTTGCCAAAAACCAATTCACTGCTTGCGGGAAACCAATTCGGTGCTCGAATGTTCAAAGGGAGCCAATTCATTGTTCATAAGCGTTTTTACTTTGGCGAAGCCTATTCACTGCTCGAAAAAGCGACCTCTTAACAAATCTTCACCACATTACTTTCATTTTTCATTCACAGTGCCTCGGTTCATTCACTTCGTTTCACTCCATTTCATTCACTTTCTTTGTCTTCATAAAAACATTTTCAAAAAATTAACACACTTGGAAAAATCTCACCATAAGCCTTAAGCCTTAGGCGAAATTTCTTCCGGATTTAAGCACAAAGTCAGAATGAATTAGCATTGAGTTGGATTATCAAAACACGATAAACCTTATCTTTCTATCCTATGTTAGACCGTCTCGAAGTAGTTTAACTACAACTTACTAATCAGTTTATCCATATGTAAGTCAGATAAGTTAGAATCCTCAAACATCGCTATCTTTTACGCGGAACCGACAAAAAAGACAATCATTATTCAACACGGCAACAAATCTCTTTTTCCTAATGTATTTATTAAAGCAGCGAAAGCTGATTACAGCTCTATATCTCTAGTTATGGGCGTTATATATATATATACGTACGTAGTATCAATCGAAACTAAGTTAACCGTCCAAACATTTTCTCTGCCTGACTCTGATACTCGCACTTCTGCTATTTTCAACAACCGCCCTCTTTTTTCTTAAAAACGTGATCGTAATCTTCGTTCTTTCTTGGTCAAGGGAATTCTTGCCCTGACGAAGAACCTGGTACTTTTCGCTGCTTTCGCAAACGTTGTCCTTATACTTGTCCTCATATAGCCTCTCACACTTCTGTTGTCGGTCCCAAATCHACTGTTAAAATCACTGACCATTTTGTTTGCACCATTTCTAATGTTGGATGTTGTATCAAATGTACTCGCTGTAATCTTTTGTATGTGGGCGAGACTGGCCGCCGTCTTGGTGATCGCATTTGTGATATTCGCAATAACGATCTCCCCAAACCAGTTTCCCGCCATTTCAATCTAGCTAACCATTCTCTTTCTGACTTCATTGTTTTCGGTCTTTTTTTGATTAACGGCAACAATAACGATTGTCGCAAGACCAAAGAAATGCGGCTTATTCACCTATTGGGCACTCTTAGTCCCAACGGGATTAATGAACGCTTTGCTTTCTTTTGATTGTTTGTTTTTGTTTCCTTGCCTACCTTGTTCCTATTGGTTTTTTTGGGCTTATTCTATCATATAAACACTCCTTTCTACCACCTCTTTCTCTTTTACTCCGACGTTTAAATTTGAAATTAAGGGGTGCGGAAGAATTAGAACACTCTCGCCTCTTACCTCTGGAGTCTGAATGTGGTTTGATTTATTGAATCTGCAACACATGCATGAGTTTAATATTGGGTCTCTCCCATTATTCGAGGAATTTTCCTTTTCTATGTTGTTCTTGAATAAGAGCGTGACAGTAATTGAGAGTTTGCACTGCACGCAGCATTCCTGAGACAACATGCACTAATCGAGAGTTACTGTAGCACCTTAAGGGACTCCCCCCCCYYCCCCCCCTCCACAAAATGAATCTTAGTTACGCCATGGTATTCACCACCTTCCATACATCGGTTCACTGGTCAAATACAAAGCACCGAAGCGGGGATCCAAGGTAATTTCAAAGGATTATTTCAATTTGGAACCTTAACTTGTAGCCTCGACTGAAAATGGAATATGGAGAATATTTCCCTACATTGCTATAAATTTCAATCCAGTCCCCCGCGCGACGATTTGAATATGTGTAACCCCCACTCGTTTTCGTTAAGAGCAGAGTGCGCATCGCCTCTCATCGTAAAAATATCGAAAAAATAATGAAAGGCAACACACGGCTTTGATATCGGAGTCCACGAATCTGAGAAAGGCGTTGTCTCAGAGTTTATTACAACAACCACAAGAGTTGCATGATAGGCATCAGCTTGGTAGATCTCTCAGGGGAGGGGGGATTCTTATTGGCTTATTGGAAAAAGAAGGCTATGTTTGTTGGCCCTTTTAGGGTTCCAGATCTGGGATTAGGTACCTCTTAGGGTATCAAAAATTAAAATGGACGACCAGAGAGAAAGCCGGCACCTCTTTGGGTGTTTTTGAGGCAGTAAGATACCTAAGATTATATGATGAAAGTCAGAATTGGCAGTTGTAAGCAATATATACAGTATGAGTGACCATGTTCTTGTCAAACGTCTAGGTTAGTTCCTTTGTGTTTCACTAAAATTTTCAAAATTTAAGTGAATCTGGCCAAGAAAATTCAACTTAAAGTTTATGCAAATGAACACAAGTTCATCACATGACTTCTGTCACTAATAGATACTAGATAATTAGTATATTTTAGGTGTAAAAAAATTGGTTATCACACACGCCCAGCTGGACAAGACTCTGGTATCTTTTATATAATTAGGGGTCATTTTCGAAATTACCGAGGATCATTTACGTCCTTCTTTATATTGAAGTACCTTTTCCACCTCCGGGTATATCTCTTCATGCCTTGAAATATTCTGTTCAGAATCTTAAACATCACATATCCATGATGCGCGAATGCGTCATCAGTAGTTTGGAGTGACAGAATTTTCATGGTTTTATTTGTTTTTGAGTGGGAGGTTTGTAAATCGACACCTCTACAGTATTATAGCAATTTACACCTAAAACACCCAATCTATCGGATTATATATAGCATGTATATTAAAAGTATTAAATTGCATAAGCAGTGAGCTGATCTGTAACAGTAGAATATTTCTTTTCCGGTTGACAAATGACAATGTCAAAAGTATTCGCATCTTCTTGTCTATAATTGTACATGCATATTTCTTTCTTTCTTAAATTATATAAGCAGTGAGCTGTCCTGTAATATTTCTTTTCCGSTTGACAAATGACAATGTCAAAAGTATTCGCATCTTCTTGTCTATAATTGTGCATGCATATTTCTTTCTTTCTTTTCCTTCCTTACTCTTCAGAAATATATTGCAAACACTCCAGAATAAAGACCAAATCCACTTTATGATTTCAACAAAAAATATTTAAAAAAAAGAATACTCCGGATGTCTTAATGTTTGTAAAGATTGCGCGCAAACAATTGTACCACATATAAGGAACCGTGCACCAAATCCTCTTGTTGGCTAAGTTTTTAAGCACATTGAAGAGGTAACGGGCTTCAATTCGACTGGTATTCAATATGAGAAATGATCAAGGCTTGGTTTCACAACTAAAAAAGAAATCTTAATTGCCGAGAAATAACGTCCAAAATATTAAAACAAATCCAAGAGAATGCACTGCCATAAACTACTAAGGAATGTCACGTTGTTGAGATCTTGGTTGAATGGATGACAGTTGTTGGGCGTCTTTTCAATAATGTGGACTTACAATTTTGGACATCTTTATGGTTGTACTTAAAGATTATGTTATTCAATTGTAAAGAACATGATTGGTTTATGCCATGCCTCAATATTCTTGTGAAAAATAATTGAAGCATGGCGTAAAAAAGATGATTTGATACGAGCACTTGCATTAAGCAGCCCAGAAAGTTTTTATGTAGGTTAAAGGGGATTTCGAGAAGCATGCAGTTGTCAATTGTGTGGGCTTCAAATGGCATCAGAGCCTTAACTAATTTTTTGTTTAGAGAAGGCGTTAAGGGCTGTTTGCAGTTCGTATTTTATTAAATCAACAAACTAAACAGACATCAATGTTAAAACCACGACTCATTGAAAGGAAATCTTCTTCTTCTTCCAAGATATAGCTATCTAGAAAAACCTTACTAGAAACTATGATTCCTTATGATGTAGATTTGGTTAGGATTTCCAAGTTTTAAGTTTTGTTTTGAACGGCTCACTTCAAAATTGATTCTTTGAAGTACGCTTTCCGGCCAAAATGCTAAAATATGCATTGCTCAAATATGTTTGCTTTTCGCCTTTGAAATACTTGACACGGTAAACATCTTTCCTATATCCATGCCAAATTAATTTTTTCTAGATGCCAAACCGTGGGCCATATGAGGTTTCTAATTTGGAGAGGTATTGTGAAGTCCTTAAGATTTTCAAGTAAATGACAAGCGGTTGATTGCGAAAATTTTAGCAGCTAGCAGATGAATCTTGCTTGCATTCATGTACCAACTGGTTTTTTCCCCCACTATAATCTACCCTTTCAAAAGAACCCCCTTGAACAAGACAATCAATCAACATCTCGATCCTTTCTTGCTCTTTCTGTACCTTTTACGACTCATATCTTATCACTCTAATGTTCTATACTTTTATCGAATGCCCATTTTTACTCGTTTTAGCACGTCACAAGACAAAAGGTTCCCATTAATGATCACCCGCATGAAATATTAAGAGCGGCGACTTGGAAAKTTTTTGGTCTAGCACCTGCGTGCAGCTGGACTTTTCTCTYGCATTTAGGAAAACACAAGCTTCCAATTTGACGAAATAACAAAATAGATGCAAGCTATCTAGATCCTCATTGCTTCAGTTGATTATTGGTTGTTTCGTAATTAATCCACCCTCTATTCGAATGAAAAAGGAAAATGATTCCTACACTGAATGACACAAAATATATAACTTCTCACGTACATGGGAAGATGTAACCATAAGGCAAGGTTAATTCCTTTTACACCATGTATTTTATTTTTCCAATAATAATTACTTTTCCACTCCTTGTGCGGTATATAGCATAGCTAAGCTTTTCCAAGCTGTACTCAAAAAGGCGATACCATGTAGAGCAGTAATAAATTATGCGTTCGGTGTGTGTAATGAAGTAGAGAGAATAAGAGAAAAATATCAAATGCCCTTGGCGGGAATCGAACCCACGTCTTCGGTATTCCAGTCCGATGTGTGTGGTGTAGTGGTTAACACATCGGACTGGAATACTGAAGACGTGGGTTCGATTCCCGCCAAGGGCATTTGATATTTTTCTCTTATTTTCTCGATACCATGTAAAGTGAAGATGAATATACCATGGAATGTAATTGGTTGAATATATGAAAAAACTGACCTATACCGCTAAAGGGATTTTATTTAAGCCGTGAAAAAATAGTACGCATAATAGTTTTTTTTGTTTTTATCAGCTAGTACTAGCCAGATTTCTTTCACGGGTTTAATAAAATCACTTTACTACTATTATACAATGGATTATAAATGGATATAGCATACTATACACTGAATGGTGTATTCCGCCCATGCAATAGTAAATCTTCCCGTAGAATATATGTAACTAACCATAATATTATCCCCCTCTAAATTTTGACCATTATTCCAATCCACTAACTTACCTAACTCTAATCTAAAAGCATAAAAATATCGTTAATTAATGGTATACCAACTCGAATTTGTATAACAACCACGAAGGCACTTTTGTAAACGTCTACGTTTGTTCGCTTTCAACAAATATTTAGTACCACTAGGTCGGCTATCATGGTCGATATGTACACACCTGCTCAGTTCACGGAACCTAACATTCATGTGTTTCTTAATTTTCATCGTAAAATCACTAGATTTTTGCCTTCCAACTGCATTGTTTTTCACGTTTATTCAACTTAATCACGGACGTTACTGCGTAATTCGGAGGGGATTCTTCGGAAGACGACGTCGATATAAGCCGGTTCATGAACCACACAGCTGACAGCGAACCAAGGTTGTTTGACAAGATTCTCCCTAATGCGAACAAGTAATCTATTAATGAATTTATGAAAATCAATAATTCTAAACATTCGGTAGTTATTGATACAATAAAATGTAGGTCAATCGGATACATAGTATATATTATTTACAATTGATTCAGTTCAGGATATCGCCTTTGACCGGATTGCTGCCAGAATTCAAATCTTGCCTTTTGTGCAAAATTAAGTCAGCTTATCCAAGGCTACATATAATCCCCCCCCCCCTCTCCCCACTCCTCCTCAAAAAAATGAAAATGAACATTTACACTATGATACATATTTCCCCCCAAAAAACGAAAAGCTCTTAAGTTTAAATCTGACAAGGCGGGAAAACGACGCGTACGCGGCACTGGCGCATTATGAATCCTGCAGCCGTCGTGAGAGGTCCTATCTTTTTAACATGAACAAATACATAAAAGTTTACTATATTATATTCGAAGAATATCATAATAATTCAGTTAGTTCGATAATCTGAGAATATAAATACAAAAACAAAAGTTTTTGTCAGGCCAAAAACTTCAGAATAACATATCTTGAAGTGCGTAACCTCTTGAATTTATAAAATTCATGCCAAAAAAGTTAACGGACGAATGCGTGTGTGAATAACAATCAAGTCAAAGGGATGGAAAAAGTGGGATTTTGAAAGCTGAAAAAAAGTTATTATGTACAGATCAAAGCGAAATCTTCAAAATAAAAGAATCAGTGTTCGATGATCAAGGAGAGTTCGCAGTGGTTAAGACTCGTCTTGTTTTGTCTCCTGGTCGTCGTATGCTTTGTTATATCGAGATTGGTTTGTCATGCTGATCTGTGTGGTTTGCTGTCGACCGATGTTGCGGCGTCTGAAAATACCTGCTTTAACGAGCAATTCCTTGAATCCCTGTCGGAAATTTTCACTGAATATGAAGCAAATGCAAGGGTTAACCGCTGCATTGGCAAAAGCTAAGTAAAATCCAATTATTGCATAATTCTTGATCCAACATGGACGATTTTTAGTATAGACAAACAAGTACAAAAATGATAACGTATTGTGGGGAGCCCACAGAACCGCGAAAGATGCGACTATTGCTACAGCCATTAGAAGTACTTTCCTTTCCCTTAGTGCTCTCTGTCTTTTCTGGCGGTCAGTCAGTGAGTCTCCCAAAGGAACGTTTTGCCTCTTTAGGTTGATGTAGATTATGGTGTATGCCGTTGTCATTCCCAGGAATGGAAGCACATTAATAAGAAAGAATAATGTTGCGAAGTACTTTTTTTGTATTTCGACCCCCGACGAACCAAGCCTGTCCCACCGGTTGATACAAACCAGCCTATTCGTTTTAGGATGTCTATAAATGACTATAGTGTATAAGTAGATGCCATGCAAGCTCATGCCAAATAGCCACGATAGAGCAATGGCAATCTTGCAAACAAATCCTGACATGATGTGATGCTTCATGGGAAAGACAACGGCAAAGAATCGATCCACAGTAATCAAGATCAGGCTGGCGATGGAGACTGTGACGGAGACATCTTGAAGGAAGCTCGTCACTTTGCACAGTACCATTCCGAAGTCCCCATCAATCATCCAGCCGTACATGCCTAGTTCAAGCTCTGAAATAGCCGAAGGAATGATGAGAACAGGAACGGCCAAATCAGAGATAGCCATGTTGAGGATAAAGTAGTTGGTTGACCTTTTCATTTTCTTGTTGCCAAGAATCACTGCTATGATAAGGACGTTTCCAACCAGCGATAAGACCAGAATGATACAATAACCAATTATCTTAAAAAGTTTTTCTTCGTCGGTGTCCACATGCATTGGACAGGAACTCCGTTGCCGAGGTGGAGGCGTCGTTGCATWGAAGCTGCCGCTCGCATAGCTCGTGTTCTCCGTCGACATCAACGTAGTAACTAGACTTGACATTGTAGAACTTATAGACGAATAGTTGATGGAAGTTGGTGGCATCGCCGTAGAGTTGTTAGAGAGAGTCATAGTGATGCCAGTGTAATGCTCACAGTGTTTAGACGAGCTGGTTGTCGGCTCTACGTATCACAGAGGCAGTTATGGCTTACCTCCCTGTTCAAACACTATCTTCAAAAGCCCAACTCGAGGATATTAAATAACCTTTTGGCATGAGTCATCTTATAAGAAATCTTCAAATGGGAGATTTCGAATTATTGAGAAACTAAGAACGCATGTACATGACAAATATTGTCATAGTGCGTTCAGTTATTACTCGAAGTTGTTTTCATAAGAAAATGAATTTGGCAGCTGATTCAAAGACATCAAATAAACRAAAACATTTTGCTAATAACTGCTTCTTGACAGAGGAACTTAAATTAAAAACGAGTCTAATCACAGGAAGCCCTTTTTATTGAAGTCAAGCTTTTCCCCCATCATCTATAAAGATGTTTGCAAAGCTTATCTTTATTGTACCCGACCAAAAAAATTCCTGTCTTCTCACGGTACAACTGCCATAACACCCACATTACTTGTCCTGTTGAAATTCAGTTCAAATTAATAGCAAACAACTTAATTTTATAGTCTAGATTCGTCTCGCTAACCTGTCTTTTCCGTGGAAGAAATTGTACTGGAATTAAAGAATTGTGAACGATTTTTTTAGGGTGGCATCCGTTCAGGTACAAAAAGGATCACCACCTTTCGTTTTAGTGGTGTTTTCTTAGTTTAAAACCTTACACGGGTATTTAAATAATTTGTTAATTAGTTTTACTCCAAATAATTTGTTGAGTAAGCTTTGTACAATTTTCTAGTCGAAATAAAAAAATTCCGACTTTGCTTCTAGTAAAACCATGCAATTTTAGGGCAACTGCCATTTTAGGCAAAAATGCCCTTTTCCCGCCATATGGCTATATATGTAGGGCCCAGTTCTCGATTAGTGCATGCTTCCTTAATTCATTAACAGCCCTTTTTGATGTTACTTTGAAGGCACACTTTCTTGGACCATTTTTTGTTAATTGGGGATTTAGTGTTTTTTTTTTTTCAAAAGATGCGATGCATTGTGCCATATTTTCCATGGCTTCCTTACAGCGTTAAAGAAATATGCTAATACAGTCATTCTTCTTAAGCAAATAAACGAGGCTTCCTTAATATATCTTCCAGAGTTAACGCGTTAGTATTGCTTTGTGAGGGAATAGTATGAATCAAATTGCTAAAAGCACCCAAACAAATGGATTTTCTAGTAAACCGCCTCACGAGCGTATTGTTTTGATCTGATAAAGGTGTTGCTAGTGCTTCGAGTTTTTGCTAAAAATTCATAGTACAAGACTAAATTAAAAATATACTCATGCTTAAAAAAGTCATTTAAAAAATGAAGAATTTGAACCAAATCGATTTACGTTTAAGTACGATTTGTTTGAACACCTTTCAGTATCAGAGAGACAACTCTCAGTTTTCATATCTAGTGATCTTAGAAAGTAAGAAATTAAAATGATGTCGGAATCATTTGCATCACAAAAGAGGATTCTTAGACAAGTTACATTACTATTTGGATACCTTTAATAAGGTTTTTTTCACTTGCCGAGTTCATATTACCAAAAAAATAATAAAGTTTCGATATGAATACTCTATTGTTAGTTGTGTGTGGCGGATCACTAAGGAATTTGGAACCATCTTTCTTAAGAAAATCTCCTATTTTTCAGTGTATTTTTGGACAGGAAAATCATTGCAAAACTCACAGTTGTATAATAAACCGATAGAATTGGAAGACAATGTGTATATTAGGATTTGAAACATTTTATGAAGCAATATAAATTTCAGCTTGGAAATGATGGCGAATGACGTCTTGGTAGTTTCAATAGTAATGTAAACGAACGGGTGTAGAATTTAACGGCATTTGGGAACGATTCTACCAAAGCGTCCCTGTATATCAAATGGTTACTGAAAATAGCTCAGATCCAAGTAATAATTGTATGTACGAGAAAAACGAGAAATTCTACCTGTTATTGTTATGGTTTTCCCCTAGAAAATAAGCAATTTAAAGGATTCTAAATTTAAGCGCAGTGCAGTTTCTTTAAAAATAGCGCAAGCAGTCTTGACCAGGAAAATATTTAGTTTTTAAGTGGAATTTTTTCAAGGAATCGGCTTCAATTCGACCTYTAAATAAGAAAAGATTAACTATCTACCCAACGCTAAAAGGGTTAGTATTTTAACAATAGTCTTAACTTATTCGGAGTTCAATGGCTTCTCACAATTGAGATTTTTTTTGTTCGTGATTTCTGAAGGGTGCTTTTAGCTTGGCTTGTCATGTTATCAAGAGGTCGAACTGATGTTCAGTTTTCTTTTGTTGAATATCTTCAGCTTCATACACGGTACTACAGATTTGAAGCATTAAAACCCTCACGGTATCTCACTCTTGCGTGATTACATTTTTTACCAAACCAGTAGATCTTCCCATATCTCTATTAAACGGATGGCCAACATTGATTCATATTTAAAAATTTATGCTTGTCAAAGGCTGAATTTTAAGGCAATGTCAGGTGTCCGGCGATTATGATTCACTGTGTGGGAGGTTAGTTGAATTCGCACGCAGAAACCTAACTTTACTATGAGCACACGCATAGCTCTGTCACAAGCCAGGTTCTTTTTTTACGATAATTAATTCCTCAAGCATACAGTCAGATATCTGTGCATGTGAAACGAAAACATGTTCATCGAAAACAGAGACTACAGATTTTTTTGCTAGGAGGGGGATCCTGTATATTCCCAGGATCCTGTTCCATTGTTGCCCCGTGTCCTTAACTGGAACAGCTTTTTTTCGAAAAATATTAGTCAATAGTAGTAGAAATGGTGATGGTAGTGAAGGTGGTGGCGGTTGTAATATAAATCGTAGTAGTTTTTATTGATAGAAGTTTGGTTGTTGTGTTAGTAGCTTTAGTAGCAGCAGCTGCAGTAACAACCGTAGCAAAATTCAGCTCGCGGAATTGCAAAATGAATTTCAAAAATGTCAGAASCTGCTAGCAACTGCTTCTGCAAATAACAAGACTGACAGCCGGATAAATAGGCCTTGAGCGAGTACACCTAGACYTTGACTGACTGATATCCCCGCACAAGCCTCATGAATAATACAACTCCTACCGCTCGCCAGAGCATGCCAGCTGTATTATTTCATATTCATATTTCATTTTACCAGAAAAATATTTACATACATTTTAGTATTAATATTATAACGTTAAACTGAGCTAAGAAAACTTCATTAGCCGGGAATGATGCCACCTTACCGGGCGACATGAAAAACAACTAATGATAAGCAGCGAACTAACTACTAAGAAAATAACGGGGACATTTATACATTAAAAGCTACATTTTCGTACAGAACAAAAATAATTTGTTATAAAGAAATATTTAGTCAACGTTTTTTTATCTAATCCACCTTTGTTTGGTGAGGTTGTAGCTGATTTGGAAATGAAGGTCTATAAAGGCCGGTTTAGACGGTCCAATTTTCGCCTATAACTATAGTATACAACACGCTCGCGCCATCCTACAACTCGAGTCGTAGCGTGTAAATCAAGCCTACAACTCGCCTACGACAGACGCGAGCGTGTTGTATACGATAGTYGTAGGCGAAAATCGTACCGTCTAAACCGGCCTTAAGAGAGTGGCATCGTTTTTCTTGCAAGATAAGCCCCCCTTTTAAAGCTCACTTGTACTGTCCTTCTGTTACTAGATAAGTAATAGACTTGAACGATCAGTTGTACGTCGTTAAATGTATCACGTCCCTGTGTTCTTCAACTGACAGTGATGATAGTTTGGACAAAACAGAGCAGATTTGGAATGCACGCGCAACTGGGAAAAAGCTACTAGCCATACATCCTGGCAAAGCATTCCGTACTAAAAAAAAAAAAAAAAAAAAAAAAAAAAAAAAAAAAAAAAAAAAAAAAAAGGAATAAAGAAAGAAAGAATAAAAATTCCCTTTAGCTTAGTTTTGTTTAAAATTCCTTGAAGTAGATAAAGCGTTTGGTCAGCTTTATCAGCTGTAACTATGAGTACGTAATTTATGGGAAAGATAAACTAATCCTTGAATATTGATGTTACTATTCCTCTGATGAAAAAATAAATGCGCTGTTTCCTGTTACCGCAAAATACTTAATAAGTCAATAGGTTGGTTGAATTTTCGGTCCAAGAAGACAAATCTTCCTCGACGTGCCTCTGTTTTTAAAGCGCACAAGCTTTACATCAATTTACGAACAGCGTACATATCAATGTCTCAGAAGGCACTCTATTTTCACGAATGTTTTATTATATAAAACTCTACAAGTCCAGCTAAGCCAGATCTTTAACTTTGCATGCTTCTCGGAGGACAAGAGCGCAGATTTTTTTTGATATTTTTAAAATGATTTCAATCCACCTGCCTTCAAGCTATCGCTAAATTTATGAGACAAACAYAATTTATGGAAAATAAACGTTCTTAAATTGAAACTTCTTCTAGATAAGAGCGGTTCTCGGATCAATACACTTATTAATGTGCTCTCCGTTGAGACCCAAATCAAACAATTAGAATGCGAATTGCATGAAAAACACGACAATAAGCTAGGCACTCCTTCCTCTGTCTAGAGATCGGTTTTAGATATGCGATGTATTAAAGCAAATACCGGAACCACTCAGATTGGTACGGAACTAGCGCAAATCTTGTTTGCCGAAGTCAAAGTAACGGAAGATTTGGAAAAGAACAGTCAACTTCAGTCTTTAGTCTGCCAAGTATTTAATTCAAGTCTCTAGTTGAATGCCAAAGTTGAATAAATCAGTAGAATTCCTTAAATGCTGTCTTTGAGTTTTATCATATTCTCTACTTTCACATCCCCATAATGCCTTGCGTCTTTGGGGGGGGTAACCAATCAAAAAACTGTCCCAAATTGAAAGGTTTCTTAATTGAATTTATTCTATACCTGCTTTTATCTGTACAATACTGATTATTAGTTTATTTCAAGTTATTTTTGCGTGTACAGATCATCAAGAGTTTTGGTCTTACAGAAAATGTATTGACTTACGAAAAAATGTTTAAAATTTACCTTAAACGTCTTCAAGTGTCTATCCTTTTCTGTTTTTTACTTCTTCATTTTATTTTTGGATACCCAAACAAGGTATTTTCAACATTGTCTGATCAGCCTTCAGCAAAATGGGATGTGAAAGTAGAGAATATTTGCTAGTCT